TTAAAGAAGTCCAGACGCTTTTCTTTGCAAGCTCCTTTGATTTTAGTGTTGTTAATAAAAAAGCAGTCTGTTCAATTCTTTTTTTCATTATTTCTGACATTACTTCTGTTATTTCTGGTCTGAATCATCTGTCCTCGTCTTTACTGTGTAGAGAAAAAAAATGGAAAGTCATTTTGAATTAGGATTCGAGAAACATGTTCTTCCCTACCTGCGCGCATTGACTCAGGCAGAGCAGACGGCTGCGTTTGTGATAATCCCTCATCTCTTCATTCTGTGGGTAGCGAGCAGGAGGTGGGTAAGACTGGTATTGTACTGCTCTTCGGCAAGGAAAGCAGGCCACGGTGGAAGCTTTAGGTCAAAAAAACAAGAGCCAGAAAGGTGGATAGGCGAAGAGCATCCCTCAAGAGGCCCGGTGGTCAACAGTGCATGGGTCTTACCTGTCATAGGTCTCTTGGTGTCGAGAATGCAGTGGAGAGGAAACTCTGGAGCCAAAGAGGCCAAACAGTCAGAGAGGAAGCAAAAAGGGTCTTTTGACAAGTGCAAGTGTTACAGTAAAGCCTAGAGGATTCAAATCAACTCGGTTCTTGAGCCTTTTTTAAGTGACTCTTATGTAAAGGTCAGAGGTACTATATGCAGCATAGTCCTCTCTGTTTTCTTCTTACACAACAAACTGCACAAGCAAACACTGGTGAACATCGTTTCATGTCACAGTACTTAAAGTCGATGTAAGTATCCTCTCCAGGTGATGATTTTGTGTCTCTTCTCGCCAACTTACAAGCACGTCCTTGAAGTCCGTTATTAAATCAATTTGTTGCCCCAAATGCCATCATGGCTCACAGCATTCACCAGAGAGTACACCTTGGCTTCTTCCTCGCCTCAGAGCCCACTGGCAAGGCTTTGTTATGCCTGGTCTGAGCCACGTAGATAGCACTGGTCCTATCTTTCTGCTTCTGTCCACCTGTCACAGCAGTTATTCACCTGTGTAATCAAATTATCAGGGGCCCAAAAGAAGCAGACGATAACAGGCATTAAAATAGGGAACAAAGAAAGGAGAAGCAGCAAAGATTTCTTTACAATGCTATGTCCAAAATTATATAACTGCATATTATTGATGTAGTAAATCAGTAATAAATACCTAGACCAGAAGCAATGAACCAACAAAGAACAATTGACTTTTAATTTCCCTTTAGCTGTACAGAGCTCAGTACTCTTGTACTTTTTTCATTTAATAATAGTATTTATAATTTATCTGAAAATTGATGAGTGTAAAGACAGAAATAATTAATGTTCCTGCATGCATGTGATGTTGTTTCCAAGGACAGGGTTAAGGTTCAGAGCAGCAACAATGATGTGATTAAGGACTTTTAGCTAGCACTGGTTGTATTATTTATAACATATGACAAAAGCAGATTTTTCATAATTATAGCTGAATTGATTTATTTTTACATGAGGTTTATTTAGCTTTAAAATTAGCTGTAGCTCATATACTGTAACTTGTCTTTCCCGTTAGTTCTTAGATTGACTTTTTTTCTCAAGGTCATTTACATACTAATGGAACGCCCACTGATTACATTTTCCATCCATTTTCTTCCCCATATTCAGTTCAGGGTTATGACGGGGCTGGAGCCTATCCTAGGTGTCATAGGGTAAAAGCCAGGGTACACCCTTGACAGGTTACTGATCTATCACAGAGCTAACAGGGAGACAGACGTTCACACCTATGGCTAATTTATCATTTAACCTAACATCCATGTTGAAGTGTGAAGCCAGAATACCTGTTGGGAACCCATAAAGGCACAGGGAGAACAGCTAGCCGCCACAGAGAAGGTCTCAGCAGCGAGTGGATTTGAACCGTGTGGATGGCTTTGAAAACACTCGCTGTTATACTGCTGTTCTGACTAATCTCCGAAGCCAGAAGAAACCATTGTTGAGGGGAAAAAAGAGGAAATGCCAAATTACTCACGAGCAAGACAAAAAAAAATCAGTGTGAACACGTCTCGTGGAGTGATGAATCTAAAATTTAAATTTGTGGTTCAAGTCACTGTCAATACGTCCCGAGGTGAGTGTCTACGGCTATTTATAACAGATAGAATCTGCATTTCAGCAAATGGTGGGGATCTTCCAATCCAATCCAATCCAATTTTATTTATAAAGCACTTTAAAATACCCAGCACAGGAACAAAGTGCTGTACAGAAAATAAGTTAAAACAATAGAATAACAGAAAACAGCAAAATAAATAAGTAAAACACATAAAACATAAAATTAAAACAGCCCTATATTAAAACAAAAACAAGATAAAACAGCATTAAATCACCTAAAAACAACTAAAATAAAAAATAAAAAACCAACATCTCAAGTGGTGTCAAAGGCCAGGGTGAAGAGGTGGGTTTTCAAGAGTGACTTAAAAACAGATAAAGAACTGGCCTGTCTAATCTCTAAAGGAAGCTCGTTCCACAGTTTTGGATCTTATCAAAACTGATGAAATTATGAACGGAGAAAAGTACTGTCAGATTTTGATCCACCATGGAATTCCATGTGGAAAATGCTGGATTAGAGAAAACTTAATTTTTCAGCATGACAATGATCCCCAACACTGCCTATCCCTTAAAAGCATAGAGTGTCTGGAGAGAAAACACACACATGGAGCACTACCATTCATGTACTGGCCTCCTGAGAGCCCGGACCCCAACATTATATATAATATTTAACAGTGATTTTAGAGAGAACAGACCAAAAGACAGCCAATATCCAAAGAAGAGCTTCAAGAAGCCTGGAGAACTTTTCCCGAAGAAGGTTG